GGGGGGGGGGCAAGAAAGAACGGACCCTTGGCAAAGATGACGCCCTCGCGGTCGGCAATGGTGATGGCCAGAACCCCGTCGGCCCTGGTTCCGTGCGTGGCATGGGGGCGGGGCGGCACCCGGCGGCGAGTGTGAGGAGGGGGACAAGCGAAGGCAGCACGAGATGCGTGGGGTCACAAGCGCACCGGTCAAATAGCGAAGACAGGAGAGACGACACGGTGGGGTTCTGCCGGGGAGGGAGAGGCAGAGAGAGAGAGAGAGGCAGAGCAAGCGGAGCAAGTGTGAGCGGGTCAGTGACAGGCGGACGGGAGGCGGACGTGTCACCGACAGGCCGGGCCCATGTACCTGGGACCCTGCGTCCTGTGAGACCTTCGAATCGCGGGCCGGCGCCAGGGGGGGCTTGCCGGTGGCGGGCCCGCCGCCGGCACCGGGGGATTTGCCCTGGAGCTGGGCAGCCGCCTGGGCCGCCTGGGCCTGCTGCTGCTGGAGCTGGGCCTGTGCCTGCTGGAGCTGGGCCTGCTGCTGCTGGAACTGTGCTTGGGCTTGGGCCTGGGCCTGCTGGAGCTGGGCATGCTGGAGTTGGGCCTGGGCCTGGGCCTGGGCTTGGGCCTGGGCCTGCTGGAGCTGGGCCTGCTGCTGCTGCTGCTGCTGCTGGGCCTGCTGCTGCTGGAGCAGTTGCAAATGCTGCAGCTGCTGGGCCTGGGCCGCCTGGGCCGCCTGGGCCTGCTGGGCCTGGGCCGCCTGCTGCTGCATCACATACAGCTGCTGCTGCTGCTGGTACTGCTGCATCATGTAGAGCTGCTGCTGCTGCTGCTGGGTGAGCTGTGCGCCCGGCTGGCCGGCGCCCTGCTGGCGCATTTGGTTGAGGGCCGCCTGCTGCTGGGCCTGCTGCAGCTGCAATTGCAGGTACTGCATGGCAAGCTGCTGCTGCTGCTGCGGGGCCAGCTCCGGGTGCTGTTGCTGAACGAGCATCAGCGTTTGTTGGAACTGCTGCGCCTGCTGGGCCGGGAGCATTTGCAAGTAGGCCGGGTTGGTGTAGATGTCCGATGCACCGGGGCCACCGCCGGCGCCGGGGGTCTGGCCACCGGCATACTCGGGCGCCCAGCTGCCGTGCTGGTTGGGCTGGTAGCCGGACATCGGGTGCGGAGGGAGGGGGGGAGGGAGGGGGGGGGAGGCGGGCGAAGGAGGGGAGAGCACGCAAGGGCGAGGGGCCGGCTGGAAGGAGCAGGAGGCGAGGAGGGAGGGCAGAGGCAAAGGCGGCAGGGTGGCGGGGCGCCGGAGACCACAGGAGCGGAGGAGGAGGAGGCGGGGGAGGGAGGCTCGAGGCAGTGGTGTTGTCTTTCTCTCGCTCCTCCCCCCCCCCCCGGGGGTCGGGGAGGGCAGATGCCCGGCTCAAAAGAAGCTACCAAAACACGCATCCGGTGGCACCTTCCCGAGGGCTGCGAGCGGCATTTGTCCTGGCCGGCATGTGATTCTCCGGGGCGGATGATCCAGTTGGCGCAAATGGGCACCATGTCCCCCGCAGGGGCTGGACACCGGTGTGTGATTAGGCCAGCATGGGCGGGGTCGCGGGGGGACGTCGCACCGGGTCGGGAAGCGGCGCCGCGCCTCGGGGGAGCGGCCCCGGGGGCGGGCCAGCGCCGGGGCTGGGGCCGGGGCCACAGCAAGGTTGAGGGCAGACACGGGCGCGAGCACGGGCGCGAGGCCGAACAGGGCCGAGAGCGAGAGAGAGAGAGAGAGAGGGTCCGAGGGGGCAGTTCTCGCAGCCTTTGACATGTTCCGTGTCGCGCCGGGCTGGCGGACGCCCGGCGGCCGGGTGAAAAGGGGGCCCGGGGGG